TGTGTGTGTGTGTGTGTGTGTGTGTGTGTGTGCAGCTCACCCCTGGCTGGAATTGGCTCCAATCACCTATTTGATGTAGAAGGTCACCACCAAGATGTCTGCTGCGTCTGCCAATTCTCTCTCTCTCTCGAACGCTCTCAGCACCTGCATATGTTGGAAAACACACACAAATGCATCACTATTAGCAAATATGCTGTATAACTGTTTGTATTTGTCTGTAAACACATGCTGGTTTGTATGTGCATTTCATTACAGCAAAGATACAAGTCATTTAAATGCTAATAAACTCTGTGTGTGTGTCTGTGTGAACATGTGTTTCTGAGTGTGTTGTGTATCTTTTCCACCACATGATAAAACCTGCTGCCTGTGGTGTGAGCGTGCAGCAGTGTGAAAGGCCTGTTTACAGTACTTAGAGCACTTAAGAAATAATACGCTCATTTCATTTAGTCCTGAGAGCCTCTTGAATTATTGAATGAGCTCCTGGATATACAGTACTGCAATCACAGGTTTGGGGTTTGTGTGTGTGGTCCTATATCCCTGAACTCTGTGTAGCAGTGGTTACAAGATTGTGTTGTCACTCACCCCTGTTACTTCATAGATGTTGATCATTTTCTAGGCAACCACCCCATTATTTCCATTTATCCCGAGTAGGTTTCTATATATTCACAAAAAATTGTTTGAATTTGGCTTATGTGACTGATTTTAATGTGCTACTGAACCTGTACTTTTAAAAGTTTAACTTTAAAAACTGCACTAAACTTAAAATATATATAACTTGGTTTTAGACATCATACATTTGATTAAATTCACTACAGTTTTGTTCCCAGTAGGAACATGTGATTGTGTCACACTAAAGAAATAACATTGGAGTACTGCCCCAGATATAAAGCACATTATGCACAATGTGGTAACTTTGCAGCTGTAAAATAAGAAGCACCATGAATGATGCATATCTTGAGTATCCTCTGCAAGTATTCATCTTTAAAACCAAGGTGAAAGACTTTTCTTATGAAAGATGTTATTAATTGTCATCAATTTGGGTTAAAGGCATCTGCGTAATTGTCGCATGGATAGCAGCGCCGCCTGTGCGTAAAAATTAAAACCTGATGGGTAATGTATTTATCGGCACGTCTTGTCGGGCGTGGCTGCGGTGCGTCTGCCGCTGGGGGGGCTGGAGCCGTAGTCTGCTCCGGGGGTTGCTGGATGCTCCGTGATGGATGAGGAGTGACAGATCGGGGTTAGCCGCCAGGGGAGTCCATTTTCTTCCACGGTCCTGGAACACTCGAGGAGGAGAAAGCAAGGGGACAAGGAGGAGCGGCCGGTTTCTACCCCTCCTCTTTCCCTCTGTCACTCTCTCTCTCTCCATCCTCTCCACTCCCGCGCATCACAGCCTGGTGGTGGGCTTTACCAGGACTGCACCGCATTGCTGCTGCTGCTGCCAGCCGACCCAACCCACTGAACTAACGCACCAACACACTCACATACTCCTCTCGGATGCTGGGGACTGAATGCTGCGGATTATGTGAGTGAGGATATGCAACAATTCCCCGCGTGCCTCCCTCCGGACTCTGACTCGCTGTCCTGCTCGGTGATGTCAAGACTTCTGGAGCATTGGAGGTTTTTTGCAGCTGCAGCGCCAGTGCACCACTGAGCTGGGATACAGCCCGAGTAAAAGTCTGCAGAGCTCACCCCTGTATGCAGCGGATCACTCGTAACCGTGAGCTCCCCTGGGTGCTGCTTCCAACATGGGTGTTGACTGAATGGAAGAGTGTCCCCGCGCTGGCACAGAGGGATGAGGACGCACTTGTGAGGATTTAAACCTGCAATCAACACATTCCCCGGACCATGATTCTGCAGCCTAGGACGTTGTTTGTGTTACTGGCCCACGCACATGTTTTATTATGTTTGAGGAATAATGGGGAAGTGCGAGGTAAAGAGGACGGCAACGTCAGCGCGTACTCTGCCAGGACTTTCCACGCGTCACTGCGGGAAAGTCACCAAAACAAAGCCAGGGACCGTGCGCTCTCGGCGGGGTATGCCACAGGTGCGTCCTCGGCGGAGCGGGCGATCTCCAGGGGGACCCTCAACTCCACTCACCCCTGGAAGAGAGCGTTCATTGCGGGGGAGACAAGGCGAGTGGGACACAACAAACGCGACTTCAATAGGACTGTGACACCCATGGAGGACCCCAACGCCGTCGCACATTGGGACGCGACGCGCCGCCATAATAAGAGGATAAAGTTGAATGGCGCTCTCGGTACTACGAGGACGCCAGCAGGTGGACACTACAATGCGGCTAAGCCCTCCTCAATGGGCTGGGGAGGAGGGGGCCCCGAGGAGGGCGACAGGCACAAGAGGGGCACAAAAGACGAGCAGAAGAAAGGATGGAAGAGGGGGAGAAACCGGCTGAACAAAGACGCGGTGCTTTCGGCTCAACCTCACACGTCGCCGTGGGAACCCATCCCCAAGCCGGCGGCCCTCACCTCCACAGACCTGCCCTTTGACCTCTTCACCAGGAGGCCCGAGTTGTTCACGTTCAGGGAGGAGAACCCCTGGGACGCCACGCCGATCACGCCCCCCAGCTCGCAGGACTTCGGCGACGAGATCAAGAACCCGTTCTACCCGGTGACCAGCGAGACCTACGGCGCGTACGCGATCACCTGCGTGTCCGGAGTGATTTTCCTGGTGGGCATAGCGGGCAACATCGCCATCCTGTGCATCGTGTGCCAGAACTACTACATGAAGAGCATCTCCAACTCTCTGCTGGCCAACTTGGCCGTGTGGGATTTTGTGCTCATCCTCTTCTGCCTTCCCATGGTGGTGTTCCATGAACTGACCAAGTCCTGGCTGCTGGGGGAGTTCACCTGCAAAGTGGTGCCATATGTGGAGGTAAATCTTTGGGTTTGGGGTTTTTATTCTGCTCTGACAAACAAATTATTGATTTAGTTAAGATGCAGTTTTTTTGCCACAGTGGACCTAAAGGGTTGGGCTTTCAGTTTCAAAGCCCTAGCAGGCCTGAAAGTATACACAGTCGTGGCTGTACAGGATGTCACGTCATCCAGTAACAAGTACGCTCTGTACATTTGCTGCTGGAGAACCTCACCTGGGCCTTGAGGCATGTAGACATGTCACACACACACCAGGATGTAAGACAAGTGGCTCATCCTCCATCTGTCACCCTGATGCATATTTAAGTTAGGGTGACGGGGAGCTGGCGAGGTACTCAAGTGGTACAAACACACTCACATAGTGTGTCACTCTTTGTCCCTTCCACGTCCCCGTCTTTTGGTTTGTCTTTCAACACACCTACAGTATGTAAGGCGGCACTAGAGGGATGTAAGACAGGTTGTTTACACCAGGTTAATACCTTCCCTTTGTGTGCTTACTGCAATTACACCCGTGTCAGATTCACCCGAAAAGGATCTTTTGTACAGAGCTGGTTTTCAGCTCAGGGGTTTTAAAGCTTGTTTTGAATGGCCATACCTTGTACAAGGAAAAGACAAAAGAGCAGAGGCAACACACATTCTTTTTAAAGCGTTAAATTAACCCAAATACAACGTATAGGCTACGCTAAATCAGACAGAACTGGAAGAAACTAAGTTGTGGATAGTGTCTGAGATGCAGGAGTGAGAGAAAGGTGTTCTACACAGTGCAGCAAAAAGAGAAATGGAAATGTAACCAAACCTAAAATAGACCAGACGTCAGGAGAGAGAGTTATCCAGCCTCCAGGCAGCGAGCCAGAGCAGGTGCATTCAACTTTGACCCCACCCTCCAGAGACAGGAGAGGGCTGCCGCACAATGAAGAGGTAACATGAGCCAGAGAGCGGCATGTTATTGTCCTGGCGGTGCCTTCACGATGAGTTTCCATGCGTTGCTAATTTGAAGATGTTGAGCTGAGTTAAGCGTTAAAAGCCTTTTCAAATAGATCCCAGCAGACGAACGTCACGACCAGTTTCTGCATGGAGAAATATTATAGAAGTTAGTCAATGTGGTGTGAAATTGACATAGAACTGCAGGACCGTGCAATGATTTACTCTTTTGAAATGAATGAAATGCTGCTAATAGTTCTACAAGAAATTTAGATCACAAGAATGGTTAATGGTTTCAGTAGATAAGTACAATTTATAAAAGCCACAGGTCTTTCATTCATTTACATTGATAATATCGCATTGCACCGGCCTCACTAATTCACAAACAATGTAATCATGTGCTCTCATTTCATGTTTCTCTGATGCACAGCATGTGACAAACACCTTGCATGGGTGCATATGTTTTAATTATGGGGGATTAGAGAGAAACAGACCCCATCCCCATCTCATTGCATATCCAAGAACCACAGGATATTATTTAATAACTTTAACACAGACTCCTGTAGAGCTCAGACCAAATCCTGATTCTTAATGAACAGTGTGTGTGTAGGAGTGGTTCTCACTTGTCTCCCAGCATCTAAAATAGCATTTGAATATGCATTTTGTATCCATCAGGACATGTGCACTGGGGCCTGTCTATGTTCACTGTGTCTTCAGTGTGTGTGCGTGCATGCATGTGTCAGGCCATGAGTAATGCAGCCTGGGGCTCACACTCTCCCTGTGGAACACTCAGTGAAACACACACACACAAACACAGTCACCCCCACTGAGTGACTTTATTCTTCACTTAACCCAAATTCAGTCACAGGGGACGTCAACATTCGGCCTGAAACAAAGACTCACAAACTCAGTCACACATGCTGACGCTCGCACGCAACATGCTCACCCTTACGCAGGCCCATTCAAAGCAAACCCGAAACCCAACTTCACGTGTGCACGCATACATGATCAAAAGGTGGCACAGATAAGAGTATCAATGTCCGCTGAGAGACAAGTCCGCCACAGTGCTGCCTTCACTAAACCTTGTGTTATTCTGTGTTTAGCCGAGTGTGGATTTTTAGAAACCTCAAAGAGAAAGCAATTTTCAGGTGTGACACGTGAGCTAACGCGGCAAGGAAATTGTAAGAATGCTGCACAAAATAAAAATGCCAGCTAAATCCGGCCTGCTTTATTTCAGATACGCTCCAGTTTCATGCTGCTGTCGCTGCAGACGACCCCTCCGGGCCCCGATGCACACGGCGGCAAATTCAAGCAAAACTAATGGGCAATAATTGGGTTTTCACACCTGGCAGTTGATTAGGATAAGACCTGAGCGTCGGCTGAAATAACAAATAAGCAGCGCAGCAAGTATTTTATAAGCCTCCTTTACTACAGGGAAGTGAGTCATTTCGTCAAGGTTCATTCAGAACTATGCTGCTGTAACACAGTGATTTAGACAAATGTCTCATTAACCATAAATATGATGAAAAAAGAAGATGTTGAACTTGAATAATCATTTTATGTCTTGTTCATGCTGTGAACATGGATTATTATCAGTTGAAGCCTGATCCTTGTTTAAATAGCATGAAAACGATCACGAGATGCTTGTGACTGAGACAGACAACCCACATCTCATTCGATAATGTGAGGCATTAAAATGTCAAAGTGTAAAAATGTGCACATGAGCACAAGTGGAACCGTGCATGTGCTGTCGCTTTGTCCGATTTATCAGCTCATGAGTCTGTCACACATAATCTTCTTTTGAAACTACGCAATCAATTAATCAATACAACATATTTAAACCATGAGGGCCATTGGATTTGGAGCTTAAACAGACAGGGGCTATACATACACACATTTACCAGAAGAGATATAAATAATAACACTACTACTAATAATAATACAAATAATAATGGTAATAATAAATAAACATGGAAAGGTATTTAAATTTTTCATGTGCCAAGTTCAATAGAGGATAATTCTCCTCTAGTTCCTTTTCTGGGTTATCAAAAATGTTTTGCCTTATCAGACCGCACTGTCACCATGACATCATAAAGGGGTCAGATTCCCAGTGAGGGGCTGAATGTGAGAAGAGGATCTTGTTTTCACTGAGGTTAACACGCCCTTCCAGTTATTAGTGTGAAGAATGAACAGTAGGACACCCTTGTGGTGAGCCTGTGCTGGTGTGTTTGATGAAGGACTCTCTGGGGCCTGTTCCGTTAAAAAATCCATAATCCGTAAAATCGGTACAGATTGAAGTGAGTGCAGGTTTCTGGCGAGAACGACTGCTACATGGTGTGGAACAAAGCAAAGTCTCTGTTCTTCTACAGCTGACTGTGACTGTGAACGTAAAACTTCTGCTCAGTTTTATTTCTGCTCCGGTTTTTAACTTGGTCCTGATTCACATTTCTCTTGATGTGTTTTTCTCCTTGGTAGATGCTGTGAAAAACCATCTTCTCTCATTAAGGATGCTTTTAGGCTTCTTGGTCACCCAGGGTTTGTAATTGAGGAATAACAAACTCTCGGTGACCACGGAGAGTTTGCTTCAGGTATGCAGCAGCCTAATGACCACTCCCATTAGCAGATACACACGGCTGCGCTCGCACCGTCTTTAAACCTGATTTACGAATAACTGTCTGTCATCATCATGGGACATTAGTGACTCCCTAAAGACGCTTTGTCTCATTCAGTGTAATTGGCAATTCCACAAACAGTTTAGCTGCATTACACCACATCCTGTATAACATGTAGAAAAATCTTATTATACAGTACAACACTAACTCAACACTGACCTATTTTGGTGTGTGCATTACTTTAGAGTGTGTGTGTGTGTGTCTCATTTATTACTAGGTTCATTCTGACCTCTGCTGCGCTGTTCAATACCCTGTAGAGAGAGACTGTGGGCTGTCTGTGCTATGGTACAGTGGGCTTTGGCAGGCAGGCGGAGAGAGAGGGAGAGAAGCAGAGCAGGAAAGAGGATGAGAAAAGTGATAGACTGGCAGAAACAGAGAAAGGGAGGAGGCGGCGGAGGAGGAGAGAGGGGCACTGAGGACCAGTCTCATAGACTGAATATAAAGATAGATGATGTGGTTGCTCCCAAAAAGTGAAGCCAAAGCCAAAAATATGGTGGCTGGATGCAGCATGAACCCCTCCTCCTACATGTTAGTAGAAGGGACATGGATTAAAGTATGTGTCAAATTATTTTTTCTCAAAGATAGTTTGTGTCATTTCAGTTCTTCACAATAATGTTTGTTCAAGTGCACATTTTTCTGATAAGAGTGATTTGATACATTGATTAGATATTCAATGCTATGAAAATGGTGTCATGATTGACAGGGGAGACTGACACATGATTGGTCGAAATTGATTGTATTGTCTTCCATCTTCATATCCAGTCTAAAGAAGCTCTGGAGATGTCCACTGCAAAAAATCAGTCCTGTATGTGAATATACACGGTTATTTACATCCATGGACTGTTTGTCTATTTATCCAACAAAGTATCTAGACCAGCACACACACACACACACACACAGTCACTCACTCACAGAGGCAGTAGGGCGTGCTGATCCTCCAGATGGGTGGGATGGCCTTCTCTCCCTCTCTCTCTCTCTGCATCAGCTATCTGTGATTAGAAGTGAGCCTAAGGGAGAAGAGACACACACACACACACACACACACACACACACACACACACACACACACACACACACATTATGAAAGTATTGGGGCACATAAGCACAATTTAGTTTATATGCCAAGTGCACTGTGTGCAACACATAAACACAACTCAAATTCACAAACACTCTGGATCTCATGTCCTCTGCGTCTATTAGGCTCAGGAATGACAGTTAATTGGAGGATATGTGAATTATTCAGGGTATTTAATTAATGGCTCTACATAATGCACAGTGGTGAGTGCATGCAGTCAGCGCTCTCAGCCCATGGATGATCAGATCTTGGTTTGTGTGATGAGACAAGACCACACAACAACACAAGCACAGATTAGGCTTGCTGTTAGATGCAATTACCCAAATTGATAATTACCCATGTAAATATGAAATATTCATTGGGTGATTGTCATTATGAATTAGGTGTGTTGGTGAAATGTAAAAAGAGCAGTGCCTTGGTTTTGGATGAACACAGAGCAGGCCGGCATGTAGCCAGCCTTGGAAAAGAAGAATATTACAGCTATTGCATTTTCTATTTCCACCAGCAAAACACTTCTAGGCAGGAATCAATGACCTGGAATAAGACTTCCCAGCGGCCACTATACACCGAGGGCAGAATACATTTTTCATTGTCCAGGGGAAATCTGCCACAGGTCAGGATATCATTTAATGGAAGAGGAATTTATTGTCCGGAATTAAAACTCACTGTAAGACTGAGACACAAAGCAGCAGAATAGAGGAGGAAACTGTAATTTACTGTGGCTGTTAATTTAATTAAAGAGAAGAGGAAGAAAAAAAAAAATGTGAGTGCTTGCCCTATTTCTGTGTGAATTCTGTGGAATATAATAGAATTGAATAGAAAAGACTGATGTCTTTATCTTAGCAAAAAGCCCATTCTCTGTCCAATAAAACTATAACGTGTTCCTCAGTGGGCTTCAGTGGTGCTGCGGCTTCTGGCTTCAGTTTTTTATTTACTGTAAGGACATTAGAGTGTTATTGATCTATTTATCTAATGTTCAGCAAAAAAGCAAAGAGGTATATTTGCCAAATTGTTGGAAATAAAACGACCAGCTGAAGAAGACCATGTGATGTAATTGAAAGCTCCCAAACAGCTACTAAATATAGATCAAACAAGGCTGTGTGTTCGTTTTGTAGCAAAAGTAAAAAATACAATATAAACACAATGAGCTATAAAGGATAGAAATATGTACAATGTAATCAAACTATAAACAGTAAAACAGTATTGCACATATATGATATTGAAATTGCAAAGATAGAAAAACCTGAGTGGCATAGATATAATATGTGTGTGGATTACTGGGAGCAGTGCTGATTGTACAGTGTAATAAGAGCAAGATATAAAAGAACAGAATATAATAGTTTGAAGTTTCCTCATTAACACAAATATTCTCAACACGTGGTTCACAACTAAACCCTCTCCATTACAACTGAGCTCCATCCACATAGAGAAGTCACTAGATGTGGTTGAAAGCAGAAATGTTTTTGTCATATGAGAAAAGAAAATACTCAAACAAAGAGATGTTAGTTTTGGTCTCTAGCATCATCCACCCTCAATCTAAAGATAGAGCCTGTCTGAATAACCTCACACACTGACACACACTATGTGAGCACTATCCACATATGCGCTCATACACACAAACCCACAATAAAATACATAAATGTGGCCATGCACAGACATGAATTCATGCTCACATGTGGGCGTGCACACTCACCCACTGCACCTTCTTTCCTTCCCTCTTCCAGACACGCAGCACAGCTGGGAGACGGATGGTGGCTGTCAGTGGCAGGGTCGCTCTGGTTAGAGTTATGGTCTGCTGGAGCCTGCACTGGGTCACACACAACCTAGAAAAAGCACAGCAGCAGGAATAACCCTTTGTCTCTCTGGCTCATTACTATCAGACCATGTGTGTGTGTGTGTGTTGTTGTGTCTCCACATTAGCTCATTCATCACCAGATAACAGCCATTATCCCTGACAGTGGCTGTCGTCACAGCGCGGCTGCACAAGCTCCACCAGCACTTGTTAAGACCCAATTAATAACGCGAGGCCTTTGTGCCACCAGCTCACAGGACCTTTAATCAGGAAGTTAATGGGCCGTTATTAAAAACAGCACCGGGGGAAAATGTCTTTCTCACCTGCTGCGCTGATCGACGGCCAGAACCGGAGGAACAGGTGTGAGGGATGAAAGGTTGTTTCATGTTCTTATTTTTCTTTCCCTCTGTGAAGCCTTTCAGTCTAAGGTTGAGAAGAAAAAGAAAAACAGAACTGAAATACTTTCCAAGTTTATATAGACAGTGTCTTTAAAATATACACAAAACTCTATATTAGAAGTACTGCTCTGACATTTTTGGACATGTAATTATTCACTTTTCTTTGCCAGGAGTTATTGATTTATTAACGCTATCTAATAGTTGTTTAGTAAATATACAACATGCTGTCTTTGAACAGCATAAAGACAGGAAACAGCTAACCTGTCGTGGAAAAATCGATACAAATACGTTTAGTTTTAAAAACAACAAATAAATAAAAATACAGTTAATAAAAAAATACAACAACACCCCAGCTAGTTAAGCTTAGCATTGGGAAAATAGCTAGCCTGGTTATGGCTATATAAGGGGCTAGACTTATAACCATAGCCAAACATACAAACATGGGAGTTATGTCCTCTGGGTCATCGAGACCATAATAAGAATGATTTTGTTCACTGAGGTTTACTGGGTACTTGTGTAATTGTACTACTGTTCTAAAAAAGTATTAAGACAACATTTTAGAAGCACCTTTTTCAGCCTCAATGCTAGTGTGACTGTTATTCATACAGCTGGTAAAAAGAACATGGCAGGGTCGAGGCTGCTGTTTGGAGGAAATGTCACGTCAACATTGTTAATAAGTCTGAAGGAGACCTGGACTATTTCTCTCTTCCTGTGACTCTGGTCTGTGTCTAACTCACTGATACTGTCCCCTACTGTCCTTCACTGTTCACTCTCAGTGTCTCCGTTCTCTAAGTCTTAAGCTGTTTTCAGGCCTGAAAACTCCAGAAAATTGGATCTGGGCATTTTCCAGTGTTTGCTTTTAACACACAAGAGCGCTGCAGGAGATTGTGCTGGTCAACAGCAAAATGTCTGTAGAAGGAGGCAGGAGATGACGTATATATTCCGCTGTTTTTTTGTTTACATCATCACTGGTGGCGGCCCCTATCGCCCAAAGCACTCACATTCCGTTAAAAATGTACATCTTTGTACATGGCACCTCTTTTCAATTTTCCTGCTGAATTCTCACATGGGCTCTCAGAAATTTTCTGGACAATTTACCAGGGGGCTGGCTTCTCTCGTACAGCCCTTCAAGAGAATTTCAGGAAAACATCCGGACCTCAGTGTGTGTCTGAAAGCAGCTCTAGTATCTCCCCACCCCTTCATTACTTTCTCTTTCCTTCTCCATTCTTCTTCTGTCCTCGTTTCTTATGCACACACATTTGCATAACCACCTTCCACACACACACACACACACACACACACACACATATCCCTTCATCACCCCACCAGGCCCGACTCTTGCACTCTCTCTCTCATCTCCCCTCCAGTACAAAGCAATGCTTGTTCGTCCTGCCCCTTGCTCTCCACCCCAACACGCTGATCAAAGCTGGGTTCCATAGTCCTCCATGACAGCCTTTATAGCCATTCCAGCTCTGTTGTTCGAGTCATGAAATATTCACCACGTGCAAGCATCCATGTGTCATGAAGGGGTGCATGTGTGTTGGCATACAGCCACCACATATGGGAATACAGGTGTGCTTGGTGTGCATGTTTATGGAGAACGAAGTGGGTCACTCATAGCGACTGATATGATGCTTCTTCAACTGTAAAATGAAGGGATGTAGGGCCACATGTACACAGACAAATTAAGGCATTCTCACTGTTAATATTCATAATATGGGGCCTGATTCACGTGATCCAGCAGCTGTCAAAAACACCTCAGTGTTCTGTGATAAAAAAAACTCACATTATTCATTCCAAACGTGCAGCATTTTAGTGTGTAAATGTGCGGCAGGATGGAGAAATAAATAGCAGGCAGCAATTTTAGAAAATAGTATCAACACTGACAGATGAGTCAGAGAGTGAAGTGAGCGGAGCATCTATTTCAGCAACATGTTGCAGGTGAAATGTGCTTTTTCTTTTGTTTAAACTTTGTTCACTGAAGACAAGGACAGGCTGTTAGAATCCTGTTTCAACTTTAGTCACATAACAGCGACAGACTGACACTCATCTTGTTAAAGATACGACCGCAAAGAATGACTTCCTGTTTCATTGTGAGCATTTTACTGCTTCACAGTTGCAGTTGGTTAATTAACTCTGGGACATTAAAACTGGGAAGCCATGTTTTTGTCTTTGCAGATGCCTGTAGTGTCAGAGAAAGAGGAATTATTCCAAACAGATTTTTAGTGAGGACTGAAGACCAGAGTTTGAAAAAAACACTAACTTACATATACTTTACATGTTTGGCTCAAATCAATTTCAGGTTGCACTGAAAAAAATTGCATGGCTTGAACACCTAAAGGACAAAATTAATAATCGTTCTGCTTTGGCAAAATTATAAAACAATTCACAATTAGAGTTACGAGATTGTGGCGTGACAGCAGGTAATAAACCCCCCTGGTCCGAAGCGTAGTCACATCGATCACAATTATTGTTCGGTGCTGGAGTCTGTGGGGGGGGTTGTCTACCCCACTTACCACTTACCCCCTCACTGTTCCGTTTGGTCGCCCTTCATTAGCCTGGTTAGTGTGTGTGTGTGCGTGCACGTTCAGACACACAGAACATCTCACCATGTGTGTACATCTCTATCCGTCCAGGAAGTATGTGTTTAGAGTGCTAATGCCGTGGCTCACCGGGGCCATCTGGGAGGCTGGCTGTTGTAATTAAATTTGAAATGAAGGGAGTAAAGAAAGGAGAGGTGTGCAGAGGGGAACTGCGGGTGAGGAGAGGAAAAGAGAGAATAGATTTAAAAAATAAAAAAAAGAGAGACAGAGGATGTAAAGGTGAAGGATGGAGGAAGAGAGTGGGTCAGATCCAGGAGATTTGGTGCTTTAGGCAAAATCTGAGAAGAAACTGGTTCAAGTGAGGACACACACACACACACACACACACACACAAAGTTACACACACCAACACACACACACAAAGTTACACACACCAACACACATACACACACTGCCAAGGGTGATTTTCCAAGTTGCCCACCAAATTGACTGTTTGTCCAGCAGATGCTTTCACATCCTAAGGAAATTTGTGCCCTCAGTTTGCAGAGCTTATACATGGAGAACATTGGGATAATGCAGGTAATTAACAAAAGCAGTGAAGTGTTTGGGTTTGTTATTTAGTAAAACAGCCATTGAACAAGGGGCGTGAAAATACATGTGAATGCAGCTCTGACAGCTTTTAATCCACCCTCTCAGTCGCACACATTCAGGGATGCAACACAACTATAATACCAGTTTACAGCCGTCCATTGTGTTGCTGTTGCTCCTCTACTTGTGATTATACGTTTGTTACATGCACCTAAAAGCCGCATACCATTATTTTTTGTCCTGCTCTTCACTCATCAAGTGGGAACAAGGGAACTTGCAGCCTCTCATTATGTATCTGTCAGACATTTTCTGCACTTTTGTCAGTTTCTTGTTATTCTTTTATTCTTGACAACCTTGACTACAACTTGGAAAAGTGTCATGAGTTTTGCTCTTCTGTCAGTTGAAATGATTGGAGATTATCACCAGTACAAGGCTACTGTCAGATCAGAATCCATAATTCACTCTTGTCTCGAATCCTCATGCTTGCAGCATTGAGATGTTTCCTGCACTATTTTTAAATATATTGGGAACAGGAATATATCTTTAAAGAGCGTCTGTAGGCCACCGAGCAAATATCAGAACATTCATTGTACTCGATGATTAAAGTGACTTCTCTCCTGATAAATGTTTCCTGCCTGTTTCTTCAGGTGGCGTCGTTGGGCGTGACCACCTTTACCCTGTGCGCTCTGTGCATCGACCGCTTCCGTGCAGCCACCAACGTCCAGATGTACTATGAGATGATCGAGAACTGCACATCTACCACTGCCAAGCTCGCCGTCATCTGGATCGGCGCCCTTCTTTTGGCCCTCCCTGAGCTCCTCATTAGACAGCTGGTGACAGAGGACACGGGAATCCCAGGCGAGCCTCCCGTCGAACGCTGCATCATCAGGATATCCACCTCGCTTCCTGACATGCTCTACGTGCTGGGCCTGACCTATGAGGGTGCTCGTCTGTGGTGGTGCTTCGGCTGCTACTTTTGTTTGCCCACCCTCTTCACCATCGGGTGCTCGTTGGTAACGGCACGCAAGATCCGGCGTGCAGAGCAGGCCAGTGTGCGCAGCAACAAGAAGCAGATTCGGCTGGAGAGTCAGATGAACTGCACCGTTGTGGCGCTAGCAATCGTGTACGGTGCATGCGTGGTGCCTGAGAACATCTGCAACATAGTTTCTGCATACATGGCGGCCGGTGTTCCTGAGCACACTATGTCCATCCTCCACCTTCTCTCCCAACTGCTGCTTTTCTGTCGGGCCGCGGTGACGCCGGCGCTGCTGCTCCTCCTGTGTCGTCCACTGGGCAGGGCCTTCCTAGACTGCTGCTGTTGCTGCTGCTGTAACCACGTGCCCTCCTCGGCCACGGCCAGCGACGATAACGAACACGAGTGCACCACCGAGCTGGAGCTGTCGCCGTTCAGCACCATCCGCAGGGAGCTGAGTAACTACACACCTGCTGGCTCCAACTGCTGAAGTGACATTCCTCATCAGGGGTGGAGATTTCACTAGCCTGCCTGTGGCCAGAAATTCTCAGACTTGGCTAGGAGAGATTTGCCTTACCTCGTCTGGTCACGGAAGGAAGTTAGACACTGAATAATCACGTTCAGCCAGTGTCTTTCAACCCCGCACTAATACTGGACATTTACACTAACTTTATAACCCTTACTTCCCAGGAACATTAACAAAAAGCTAAATCTTCTTTCCACTCATGCCCTGGGTCATATGTTTAGCAATTCCGCCTGAAACCTTACAAACCTCCCTTCTCTTTACCTTGTTTGCCTAAATATCTTTGGACAGTGGGGATGGTCTCTATGGAATCAACTTAATTTCTTTTAATGAACCTAATCCTGAGGCTGAAAAACTGAGTAAGAAAAAAAACTGCTGGCCTCATGGTATCAGTGACAGGTAATATTTATGCTGTACAACGTACAAATGATTGCACAGAATGCGTCACAATAAATTCTTAGGGTTAATAAAACGGGTTGTGATGACAAATATGTTTGGCCACCATAAATAACATTTACGTGCAGGAAACTGTGCTGCAAATCTTAAGGGAGAGAAAAAGTACTTTAAATCACTTTCCAAAAGTGTCACTCATGAAATTATGGGGACTTAGCTAATTAATCACAGAGCGACCGTGTACAGTAATACAGCATCCAGTCGGCAGACACTGCCTATAGATCTGCAGGACTCACTTTACAGATCACATTTGCTGCAAATGGACAGTTCATAAAATGGCGCGCACGTGGGAACAAGGCTTCTGATAATTAAACTAGCACAGGGCGTCTCAGCGGTAATGACGGTTTGCAAGAGGAAAACACAAAGAAGACGCTACGCCCTGGAGAATCCAAATGTACACAACACTTACACTGTATATTGAAAAATATCCAGTTGACTCACACAAAACTGGGCTGGTCTCAGAACAACAACATAGACTGGGGTAGAATTAAATGCTCTGGAACGGACTAATTGAAATCACATCAGAGTTGAACGGAGAGAAATGGAATGGCGACAGATGAAACTGATTGAAGTGAATATGAATAGAGTGGACACTAATGGAACATAACACGGCGGAGGATAAGTGAAATGGATGGACTCTGCGTGAAGTGGACTGAAATTGGATATCTGCACTACACTGTTGTTTCATGTTTCGCCTTACACTTTGGGCTGTATATAAACTGTACACTTTCTTCGGTGCTCTTATGATGAATGCGCTGTAAACAACAAATCCATCGGTTCGACTTAGAATCACAAGTAATTGAGCTGCAGACTTTGTCTCAGGTCAAGAAGACAGATTGCAGTTATCTGCAACTCTGTAATATATGAACAATAGTGAGGGGGAAAAAAATCAATATGGAGTTTTCCACAGAAAGTTTAATTAAACATCACCGGACTGCCTTTACTGAGAGTGATGGCTGTTTGACAGCTGCGCTACAGCTATGGTAGCACTTTACTTTACAGTACAGTAATTACTTAGTGTTTAATTAATCACTAACATAAAAAACTACATGTTATTAACATTGTTATACATCAATGGATGCAATAAGTATTACCATATATTTATTTAATCGGGACAGAAATATAATTAAAGGCTATTAGTTTCATTATGCAGCAGTAAAAGGGACAGAAAATATCAATCAATACTAGATTAAACCAAAATATTAACGTATTACAAAAAAGTGCCAATGCATCGTAACACTGTAAATACTAGAAACTGCTGGACTGAAAATATAAGTGGTATTATAGATTTGTACCAATGATCAATGCAAAAGTTCATACTAAAACATTTAGGTTGTTTTTGTTATTCGTGTTCATGGTTATGATTCCTGAACTGTAAAACAAAGTGATACCACAACTTCAGAAGCGATACTGCAAAAGCTTGTTTGCTAAACCCATCCATTGAACACTGACGCTTAGTAGCTTTTACGCTAGACACATGGAGGCGCCAGAATCATGCTTCAAAAAACACTCAAGTGCAGGCGCTAGCCAATCAAATCACTTTAATGTGAAAGAGGAGCCAGAGGAAACTGGTGAACCTGGTGTGTGTTTATCTGGCTGTGGATTTTATCTCCTGTGTACTTCTTTTTAGCATTGCATTGATAGCTAGCATGGCATGTTAGCACGAAAGTCGCTATGCTGTGTCTTGAGCATGAAAGTGTAATTGTTGTTGTTATGACAATCGGTCCAGCGCCAGTCAGACACACCCACGTTCAGGCGTAAATGCAAAGTAACAGGTCCAGTTTGGTCGAAGTTCCAGCCTCCAAAGTGGCGACATAAGTAGCGTTGCTCCAGGCTCTAACAGGAATGGTACATAGAATTTCTAGATTTCCTAAACCAAAGACAGCACAGCTCAGCATTTTCAAACGAGTCAGAGGGGAAGATAAAAAACTAAAGTGACAGGTTTTAATGCGGCTAACAAATTCATCAGTAGCCAGCTGTTTGAAATGACGGATCCATTGTGTCAATAATTACAAAGAAATTCCACCAACGTTACCACTGTAACCACAACAGCAACCACAGAGTGGTTGAGCAAGGGTTGAGCAAATAGTTACTGTGTGAATTCTTGACCTTTAAGACCCTTAGCTGTTCATTTACTTGAGTTTTTAAGTAGAACCAATGAAATGTTTTTCACAGTGTATAAATTTACAAGTGTATTGTACTGTAAATCTGTTTCCTTAATGCTAATAATCAGACCTGGGTCAAAAGAAGGTTCAATCACTTATCACAATGCAGGAAACTGAAATGATGACAGAAAATGGAACAAACCCAACCTTTGGTATAATCAGGTATGGAAGACGTAGGTGGACAACATGACTCCTGACCATTATCGATTTATTATTGCATTTATAACTTGGATTATATGGTGGTGAACTCTGTGATGACCCAGGTGTGATGTTCATTGGTATACTGTATATTGCGATGAATCTTTTACTTACGATTCTGCACTGCCAAACACCTTCTCTGTGTCTGTCTCTTGTGCTCTTGTGGTAGTAGCACACTATCTCTGGGTGTCTCTCTCTCCCTCAGTGCGGAGGTCAGTTTGCTCTCAGCTCCATCTGTACAGGGAGAAGAAAATTACTCTAAAACATAAACCATAAAAGATCTGACAACACCCACGGCCAGTCAAAAAATACAGCTTGTACGAATGCTGTTCAGAGGAAGTGTGGATGAAGAATCTTATTTTTAGCTTGAGGCAGCAGCCATCTCTAATGAACTCTTGTTTATGAGCTCCAGGAGATCCAGGTGGATGTGGCCTCATGTTGGCGCTGCCTGCAGCTCGTCACGTTAATAGATGAAATGGGCGAGAACACAGCAGCTCTGCAACACAATGCCCTGCAGCCTGTTTGACAACTCTTTTTATTACCTATCACTATCAGGGTATTGAGAGCCAGTGTGTTAACCAGTCAAGGGAAATTACACAGTACACAGAAAATATATTTTTCCCATTAAATAACAACAGCTCATAGTGCTGAAGTCTGGACTTCTGCTTTATTTCTTGATGGGACTCGAGAGTAAACTGACCTCCTGAACCTAATTCTCTTTTTCTGCATATTTCTGAGAGTGTAGTTCATTCTAAATGGCTCAGTGTGTAGTAACGTGGTTCGAACTATTGATGAAGTGATTCTTGTAAAACCAGTCAGTGAGACGTTTATTCTGAACTTTGTTAGCATCCTCTCTTCACTCTGAGCAAAACGTGTCCGTATTGGATACCTGAAAACGTAAGCACACGGCCACTACTGTCTCTGAAGTCTAGTCACTGGTTTCTAAATAGCTTTTTATATAGCCAAAAAACTGTCCCTTTGTTTATCAAAGAACTTTATCTTGAAGACTGTATATTAAAATCCTAAATGTTCTATTACTGCTGATTTATTGGGGTCATTTGCTATTTTGGATCTTTGATGAGTAAAATGTGTGAGTGGCATCATCTTTAATCCGTCATTGTTTAACTCAAGTAAAACAGAACTCTTATAATCCAAAGAACAGTTCAAATCTAAAGCAAAGAAATGATTCAGTCTTTTGCCTCCATGCCAAAGGGTTGTTACCATGGATACAGTTAAAAGGGGAGACTTGCAAGAAAGATTTAAAAAAACAAATGTTTTAAACCGACGCAGCAGAGGTGGACAGATCCTAACTCTTATCTCCTTATATGGATCAAACCCAAAAAATACTCTTTATATCCCTTACTCTTACAAACTCTTCTGTCATTATCTTTAAACTCAAGCTGAAACTATACTGATCTGTATTGTTAAAGTTTCTCTTAAGTACTTATTTTGAATATCTGAAAAATTGTACCTCTGAAGATTAATTTTAAAAAAGCAAGCTAAGAAGAATTTGTGACTGGTTGCGTAGAGGCAGGAACAAACACCATATAGACTGTATATAAAGATGGACAACTCATCTCCTCTTCCTCAGACTATTAAGGAATGAAGCCAAAATTTCCTGGATATGGCTGCTGCCATCTTGGAGCATTTGGAGCCAGAGTCTGCACAGTAACGATCGGAAGATGGAGCCACGGTCACAAGTTGCACTGATACATGTGCTCGACCAATCATGAGTCAGTCTCTGCTGTCAATCATGTATTTCACCCAGTTAATAGCATCAAATAAATAATTAAGACAGATCAGTGTGATAAGAACTCTGAGAAAAGTTATTTTGACATGTACTTGCCTTTTAGTTCAGTCCATGTCCTATCCACGATCATGGAGGAGGCAGGGTTTATGACTTGTACTGCAGCCGGTCACAAGGTGGTGATTGAGATGCTTTGGTTTCACTTCAGCAGCGGCTGTCATGTCATCCATCTTCCTGTTCTGTCTGATGATAACGATCAATCCAAGCCTGCAGAGCCAGAGTTACAAGAAAATCAAAAAATGTTAAATGAAGCTATAAGTCATGAAGCTATAAGTCATGATACTTTAGTCGAATAACACTTTTCAACACAATGGCCTTTACATCTCTGAAATGAAAGTGAGATTTTCTTTTGAAAATATGCAGAAACACTCTGTTGCTCCTCTGGAAAAAGTCTCAGAATGTGTCCTGAATCCCTTAAGATTATCCAACTACATCTGCACTGTAGCAAAAAGTGTCTTAATTTCTCTTCACATAACAGAGGACCCTTTAAAATATTTATCAGCGATGTATCACTGCGCTCTGTTCTCCCAACACATCCTACACACCCCTCTCTTTTCCCTCTCCTCTCTCTGTTGCCGTTTCTTTGTCTGTTTCATCCAAAGTGTTATACAACGATGACGACAACAGCCGGCGTCCTGGATCTGTGTTTGGGATATGGACGCAGGACAGGACTGTTTATACCTCCTGCAACAGAATTAGCTGTCGTTCTGGAACACTGAGCAGATGCCAGAAAGCTTCCGCAAGCACCAAAAAACACGACGGAAAGCTTGCTATTCCCTCCCACTGTTTTGAGGTGGAGGTCTTGTTTCTCTCTGTATGTGTCTATATCTTGTCAGGAGAGAAAGTGAAGGTTAAAGAGATGCGAAGGCGAAAAACTGCAAAGAAACAAATGGGAGAAAAAAGGCAAATGTGTGCTGTCAAAAGGAAGAAGAGATCATTTATACTTGAGTTATACTTGAGATACATTTTTTAAATCCTCTTTTAATGTGCAAAGCTTCAATTGTTTAAACACAAATGGTTAAAATGACACATTAAGCATTTTTTTTACCATTATTTTGAAAGTCTAAAAGCATTTGTGTAATCACATTTTCAGGCAATTACTGCCAAATCAACTGCTCATTTGCACTTTGAATTAAATCCACCAGCGATCCGTCATGTTTCTCTCAGACAGAGAATGAGAAAGTTTAATTATGAGCCGTCTGATGAAAATTGAGGGATTGTTCACTTTGAAATGAGCCACGATTCAGTCTTTTATCTGTTGTCTCCCCTGTCTCCTCCCTTCTGTCAGAGTGAGTGTGGCTCATGATTTACTCATGTCGTGGGGACCTCAATCTTTTTGCACACTCACATTATGGGGTTCCAGTCCTGTAAAATAATTCATTGAATTTAAGGGGAAGTCATATTTTGAGGTTCGCCAAGTAGAAGTTATGGTTAAGGTTAGACTACATCTCCAGGACATGAGTGTAAGTCAATGTAACGTCCCCTGAAGTTATAGAGACATGACTTTGTGTGTGTGTGTTTGTTGTCCCAGAAAAAAAGCTGACAGGCGATGTGCCACTCATTCTGTTAATTTCCCCAAAACTGTTGGCCCCCTGCCAGCTCACTCACTCAGCCTCAATCAGCCTCAATCAGCAGCGTACTTCTAAAAGTGTCTGCAGCCCAGACTGTGTGTGTGTGTGTCTGTCTATTTGTTGATTTATTGTGTGACTGCCTTCAAAAGCCTTTTCCCCCCCATTCAACTTCCCATTGTAGCAAAAGTCTTTTCATGGTCAAACACTGAGAAGTTCTGATCCTGTTTTTTCACCGTCACTTTGTAATCTCTTTTATTGTGCTGCTATTTTCAGCTCTGCAGGAACAACACTAGGCCTTGATTAAAGTTATACAACAATGTACTGTAGCATGGATGCATTGTGCACACTGTAGCGTCACATACAATATTTAACGGATGCTTTATTCAGATAAAAACCTTGAGTTGCTTCCAGGAAAAGCAAGAGAAAGTCTGTTTCTTTATAGGAGTAAATACTTTCATATAAATTAAGAAATGCAATGAGTCAGTATAAAGGGTTTTAGCATGATGAGAGAATATCAGTACTGTCAGCACCAGCAGCTGCCAAGCAAAGTGGGGATTAAAAAAAGGGGCCGGGTTCGGAGTTTCTTCCTGGAGCTGCAGGTTTTCAGGTTTGTTTAGACACTCTCCCACCTTTCTGTTTTTCCAAGAGCGACTGGGCATTCATTAAAAGCAGGAAGTCCCAGCCAAGCAAATCTGGCTGGGCCAAGTTTTTTTTCTCATCGCTCATTATAAATGGTTGCTAGGTTACCACAAAGTTAAGTTGCCATCTTTCTGACTTTTTTTTCTGTTGTGTAGCTTCCATTTAAAAAGACAAGGCATTGGTAGCCACTGTATGAAAGAAGTACAAGCATTTGGAATTTTATGGCTGCATAATATGCCATTACACTACAAAATTAGCAGCTATAGTTAGTAGCTGTAAGCAGAAGGTCGATTCCAGTTTAGTTTGATTCCAGCCTTCCCCATTCCGCATACTTTAGTGTCCTTGGGCAGGATTTGACTTGATATTTCTTAAAGAAGTTTGGTTTTTAATGATCAGTCAGCCATTTTTGCTTTTGTATAGTTGCAGTACGTTTGCACATGCATGCAAACACATGCGGATAGAAACATGCAATCGTGCAGACAAGCCCTTGCAGACACTCATGCACATAAATGCACACAGGTAACAAACTCACAACCCAGGAGCCGAGGGGTTTAAAGCCTATATTGCATTTCAGTATTTACTGAGAGAGACTTTTCATTTTGAAGCCTGTACAAAGATATATTGAGATTGTCCACTGGGAACTGCTCAATAATATCCCACCCTCTCTATTTCTCTCTCTCATCCTCCCTCTCTTTCTACACCTCTCCATCTCCCGCCTCTCCACCCAGTCATCGCTCATCTTCTCTGAAGCGCTATCCTGCCCCCTCATACATTTTAATAGTGGCAGTTTGATCCGACTGGTCAAAGAAAATAAAATTCAAATGCATCCACTTGTGTTGAATAAATACATAATTTAGCAACACAAGTCAAGTCGTGTTCAGTGTTGTGGAAAAGACAAGATAAATATTTTACTTTCTGAGGAGTGGGTAGAATGGGATTTAGTCAGAGATGAGATTCTGAGTCATGTGTTGCTGCCGACGTTAATTTAAGTAGAGTTTCTGATTGAATCTTCATTGGTTCTCGGTCTGCAACAGAGAACCACAGCCTTTTCATCACAGGTCCACAATTTTACCCAGAAGACGCAAGAAGATTGCTTTGGAAAATGAAACACTGAGCATGTGGTTGATGGAACCGTCACAATTGAAGCAAGAACTGCAGCAACAACAATTTGTTAAAGCAATGATCACAGACTGTATATAAAGATGGACGACACCAACACACCTCCTCCCACTATCCAGAAATGAAGCCAGAATATCCCAGACACAAACGCTGTCATCTTGGACTGATGATTGGAGCAGGAGTCTGCACAGTAGCAAATGGGGGGTGTAGCCACAGTATCAAGGCCCTGCTCAATCAATAACAAGTTCTACCTAAAACAACAGAAACCGTCTTTGAGAAAAATAATTTGTGTATTTTGACTTTTTAGTTTAGTCCAAGTCCAATCCACTAACATGAAGGAGGGTTTTAAGAGCTACACGTATAAATGACAGTGTTTTGGTTTAAGTTGTTGAATGAACATTACTTTTGAAACAACAAAGTTAGCCTTTTGGCATTTTGATGTTACCAGTCATCTCAAAGTTCTACAGAGTCGCTAACAAGGCTGAAGAAACAACACTGCAACAATCCACCTGCCATTCTCCAATTCCAACTTCTCCTGACTCAAAGATTAAGACCTCAAGACAGATGACGTGCATGTAAACGAGTGAGGAAACAATAATGTCTACAAAGAGTAGAAAAATGTTGATCACCTCAGACGACGACAGAGAAAACATGTTGTCTTGAGGTACATTTCCAAAATACTGGTTGCTATGAGTCTGCCCAGTAGCACATGAGCACACGCTCAAAGATGATTGCTACAGACCATGTTTATGTATAAGACAGAATGTGAGTCACAGGGTTGAAACCTCATCCTCTGCCCATTTCCAGTCGACAAGTCATTTGGATGTGAGTTAGGCTGCTGAGAGCAGGGGCACACTGTGTCACTCGGTGGCTCTGTCCTCTGATTGTCTCCTTTGTTCTGCTAAAGGAAAATTTCTTGTCCCTTAAAGCCGGGCCTGAACTGAAAATACACTTCAAAGAGAGATATTAGACTCCATCCATGGCTTTAGCTGTAGTCATTTTTCTGTGGAATGAGGATTTGACATCGTCGCAAGCTCCTCTAACTCTCACGGTGAGCATTTCGCAGATGTTTTTGACCGAAAGGAAAATTGTTCAATGCCCGAGAATAGCTTTTTAAAATGTTTTTATATGAAACTTTGAAATTAAATTATGTGATGTTAAAGCATTTTGTCCAGCGGCTGCTTCGTCAATAACTGATCTGTCACGTCAGTGGTGCAGCGGCTGAAGAAAACCTGAAGTGAAAATGTACAACAGAAGCTTTTGCTACAGCCATTAACATAGAATTGTACAGATGGGTCATAATCACTATACTTTTGTGTGTGAAGCCTCCCACTTTCCTGGGGCACCTGATTACTCTTGTTGCTATGGATACAATTCAACACTTCCAGTCCACATCTCATGCCAATTAAGGATATATTCAAGTTACCCAGAAAAAATCCAAACTTACTATTCACTGCACTCCTGCATGTTGCATTCAGTGGTCGTCGTGAGGCACTGGTATGAAATCATTTCAAGTAGGTGAGTGGTTGAATTAGATTATTTCTTCTTACATGTTTGAGACATATATAGATGTGTCGAAAAATATAAAGACCGACAAATAAGGATTTTGAGGGCTGATGCAGATACAGATATTAGGGAGTTAAAAATGACTAATATCCACACATTGGCCAACATACAGTAT